ATAGTCTAGTCTATAGTCTAGTCTATAGTCTAGTCTATAGTCTAGTCTATAGTCTAGTCTATAGTCTAGTCTATAGTCTAGTCTATAGTCTAGTCTATAGTCTAGTCTATAGTCTAGTCTATAGTCTAGTCTATAGTCTAGTCTATAGTCTAGTCTATAGTCTAGTCTATAGTCTAGTCTATAGTCTAGTCTATAGTCTAGTCTATAGTCTAGTCTATAGTCTAGTCTATAGTCTAGTCTAGTCTATAGTCTAGTCTAGTCTATAGTCTAGTCTATAGTCTAGTCTATAGTCTAGTCTATAGTCTAGTCTAGTCTATAGTCTAGTCTATAGTCTAGTCTATAGTCTAGTCTATAGTCTAGTCTATAGTCTAGTCTATAGTCTAGTCTATAGTCTAGTCTATAGTCTAGTCTATAGTCTAGTCTAAAGTCTAGTCTATAGTCTAGTCCATAGTCTAGTCTATAGTCTAGTCTATAGTCTAGTCTATAGTCTAGCCTATAGTCTAGTCTATAGTCTAGTCTATATTCTAGTCTATAGTCTAGTCTATAGTCTAGTCTATAGTCTAGTCTATAGTCTAGTCTATAGTCTAGTCTATAGTCTAGTCTATAGTCTAGTCTATAGTCTAGTCTATAGTCTAGTCTATAGTCTAGTCTATGTCTATAGTCTAGTCTATAGTCTAGTGTAGTCTAGTCTATAGTCTTGTCTATAGTCTAGTCTATAGTCTAGTCTTAGTCCAGTCTATAGTCTACTCTATAGTCTAGTCTATAGTCTAGTATATAGTCTACTCTATAGTGAAGTCTATAGTCTAGTCTGAGGTCTAGTCTATATTCTAGCCTATAGTCTAGTCTATAGTATAGTCAACAGTCTAGTCTACAGTCTAGTCAATAGTCTAGTCCATAGTCTAGTCCATAGTCTAGTCCATAGTCTAGACTATAGTCTAGTCTATAGTCTAGTCTATAGTCTAGTCTATAGTCTAGTCTATGGTCTAGTCTATAGTCTAGACTATAACCTAGCCTATAGTCTAGTCTATAGTCTAGTCTATAGTCTAGTATATAGTCTACTCTATAGTCAAGTCTATAGTCTAGTCTGTGGTCTAGTCTATATTCTAGCCTATAGTCTAGTCTATAGTATAGTCAACAGTCTAGTCTACAGTCTAGCCAATAGTCTAGTCTATAGTCTAGTCTATAGTCTAGTCTATAGTCTAGTCTATAGTCTAGTCTATAGTCTAGTCTATAGTCTAGTCTATAGTCTAGTCTATAGTCTAGTCTATAGTCTAGTCTATAGTCTAGTCTATAGTCTAGTCTATAGTCTAGTATATAGTCTAGTATATAGTCTAGTCTATAGTCATGTCTATAGTCTAATCTATAGTCTAGTCTTTAGTCCAGTCTATAGTATAGTCTATAGTCTACTCTATAGTCTAGTCTATAGTCTACTCTATAGTCTAGTCTATAGTCAAGTCTATAGTCTAGTCTGTGGTTTAGTCTATAGTCTAGTCTATAGTCTATTATATAGTCCACACTGTAGTCTAGTCTATACTCTAGGCTATAGCTTAGTCTATAGTCTAGTCAATAGTCTAGTCTACAGTCTAGTCAATAGTCTAGTCCATAGTCTAGTCTATAGTCTAGTCTATGGTCTAGTCTATGGTCTATTCTATAGTTTATATTCTAGTCTATAGTCAAGTCTCTAGTCTAGTGTTTAGTCTATATTCTAGTCTATAGTTCAGTCTATAGTCTAGTCTATAGACTAATCTATAGTCTAGTCTATAGTTCAGTCTATAGTCTAGTCTATAGACTAATCTATAGTCTAGTCTATAGCCTAATCTATAGTCTTTTGTATAATCTATTCTATAGACTAGCCTATAGTCCAGCTATAGTCTAGTTTATGGTATAGTTTATAGTCTAGTCTACAATGTATAGTATAGTCTAGTCTATGGTCTAGTTTATAGTCTAGTCTATAGTCTAGTCTGAAAAAAATTTATAGTAGTGTGACCAGCTTGTAGTTATTTCCATTAAATCCCATTTATAATGATAATATGTAAAAAAAAGTTCAATTAACTTTAATTCTTCTTATCATTAACTAATTACTTTACCTTGTCTTCGATCATTGTTTGTCAATGATAATTACTACGCTTTGTAACAGCATTTCAACTACACTGCGTAATAAAAACAAGTCATTGGGTTTATTTATTTAAGTTTTGTTTAAATAAGTTTATTTGGCAAACAAAGCACTATTTAAAACCAACATTAAGATTGTTAGTAGCTGCACTCAAAAAACAAATAATATACATACATACAGTATAAATAAATAAAGGAAATTTACTTTCGATTTAAGTTAAATTAAAGACAAATAAGAAAAACTACAAATTAAAACTAAATGTAATTGTAAATTTATTTAAATAATTTATTTACATACACACTAAATAAATGTATTATTAACTAAATAAACTAAATTATGAAATGCAATAAATGTACTTTTGGGTGTGAGAACTTAAACTAAAATTTAATAAATTAAAAACTTAAAAATTATTAAGTTAAACTTATACAGAAGATGTGGGGCAAGTAAAGAATTTCAGATTTTCATTTTTAATTTGACATAAATTTAACATAAAACTAACAAGGACTTGGTCCTTAAAATTAAAGCAGCATAAATATTTATTTTTAATAGATCATAGGACATTTAAGACAAAATATGTATAAAAAAATTATATTCCCATAAAAAATGTCACATTTTTATTTCTACATACAGGATTTCCGTTACTTTTTTTGCAGCAATGAACAAACAAAAAAATCTTAATGGGTTACAATCACTATTCTTTGTCCATAAATGTCTCTATATATTTTAACACATCCTATAAAAAAGCATCGTATTTACATTGTTTCTTATTGAAATTTATATCTTTATATAGAATAAATAACAACAAAATATAAATAAAAAAATATATAAATTATCATAAAAAATTATATGCATCATAAATTGGCATATATAATAAAAAAAATATATATAATAGCATACAGATATGTATACTATTACATATAGGTATAAGACAGTAGTGGTTAAAATGATAGCAAACAATATCTCAATAACACTTGGCAAGATTGAGAGAGAATTTCTTGGAGAGAACCTGTTCAGTACAACTATTCGAGAGAACTGCAAAACAACAAATTTCGATGAACTTTTCTATGCAAAAGTTGATCAAATTTGGATGATCTATTTGATAAAATTGGATGAACTTTTCAATACAAAAGTTGATCAAATTTGGATAAACAAAAGTTGATCAAATTTGGATGAACTTTTCTATAGAAAAGTTGATCAAATTTGGATGAACTTTTCTGTACAAAAGTTGATCAAATTTGGATGAACTTTTCTATCGAAAAATTGATCAAATTTGGATGAAGTTTTCTATACAAAAGTGGATCAAATTTGGATGAACTTTTCTATACAAAAGTTGATAAAATTTGGATGAACTTTTCTATCGAAAAATTGATCAAATTTGGATGAAGTTTTCTATACAAAAGTGGATCAAATTTGGATGAACTTTTCTATACAAAAGTTGATAAAATTTGGATGAACTTTTCTATACAAAAGTTGATAAAATTTGAATGAACTTTTCTATACAAAAGTTGATCAAATTTGGATGAACTTTTCTATAAAAAAGTTGATCAAGTTTGGGTGAATTTTTCTACACTAAAGTTGATCAAATATGGATGAACTTTTCTATACAAAAATTGATCAAATTTGGATGAACTTTTCTATACAAAAGTTGATCAAATTTGGATGAACTTTTCTATACAAAAGTTGATCAAATTTGGATAAACTTTTCTATACAAAAGTGGATCAAATTTGGATGAACTTTTCTATAGAAAAGTTGGTTAAATTTAAATGAACTTTTCTATAGAAAAGTTGGTTAAATTTGGATGAACTTTTCTATAGAAAATGGGATCAAATTTGGATGAACTTTTCTATACAAATGTTGATCAAATTCTGATGAACTTTTCTATACAAAATTTGATCAAATTCGGATGAACTTTTCTATACAAAAGTTGATCAAATTTGGATGAAGTTTCTATACCAAAGGTGGTCTAGAATTTGATCAAATTTGGATGAACTTTTCTATAGAAAAGTTGATCAAATTTGGATGATCTATTCTATACAAAAGTTGATAAAATTTGGATGAACTTTTCTATACAAAAGTTGATTAAATTTGGATGAACTTTTCTGTACAAAAGTTGATCAAATTTGGATGAACTTTTCTATACAAAAGTTGATCAAATTTGGATGAACTTTTCTATACAAAAGTTGATCAAATTTGGATGAACTTTTCTATAAGAAACTTCATCTAATTTGGATAAACTTTTCTATACAAAATTTGATCAAATTTGGATGAACTTTTCTATACAAAAGTTGATCAAATTTTACATGAACTTTTCTATACAAAATTTGATCAAATTTGGATGAACTTTTCTGTACAAAAGTTGATCAAATTTGGATGAACTTTTCTATACAAAATTTTATCAAATTTGGATGAACTTTTCTCTACAAAAGTTGATCAAATTTGGATGAACTTTTCTGTACAAAAGTTGATAAAATTTGGATGAACTTTTCTATAAAAAGTTGATCAAATTTGGATGAACTTTTCTATACAAAGTTGATCAAATTTGGATGAACTTTTCTATAGAAAAGTTGATCAAATTCGGATGAATTTTTCTATACAAAAGTTGATCAAATTTGGATGAACTTATCTATACAAAAGTTGATTAAATTTGGATGAACTTTTCTATAGAAAAGTTGTTCATATTATGATGAACTTTTCTATAGAAAAGTTGTTCATATTATGATGAACTTTTCTATAGAAAAGTTGTTCATATTATGATGAACTTTTCTATAGAAAAGTTGTTCATATTATGATGAACTTTTCTATAGAAAAGTTGTTCATATTATGATGAACTTTTCTATAGAAAAGTTGTTCACATTTTGGAGATCTTTTCTATACAAAAGTTGTTCACATTTTGGAGATCTTTTCTATACAAAAGTTGTTCACATTGTGATGATCTTTTGTATAGAAAAGTTGTTCACATTGTAATGATCTTTTCTATAGAAAAGTTGTTCACATTGTGAAGCTCTTTTCTGTCAAGATTTTGCTCACATTGTAAGAATCCTTGTTATAGAAAACTTGTGATGAACTTTTCTGCAATTTAATTGTGCCATCATTTTAATCTCTACTGCCTTTGGGAAAACAGATACTTATAAATAAATATAAAGATAGAAAAATACAAAATAAAAAAGGTTATCACATTTCAATACACATCATAATAATTTCTCAATTACAATAATTGTTGGCATACAAAAAAAATCAACATGGAAAAAAAAAACTAAAGAACTAAATCCACAAGAATTTTTTTCTACAGCAGCAGCATCAGCACTAGAAGTAACAACAATAAATAAATAATGGACTTAAAAAGTACTAAACAAAAAAAGAGTTGAATGCAATAACAGACAAAGTAACTTTATACGTTTTATTTTTCATGTATTTTTTTTTCTGCTGATTCCACACTATGTTCCCGATTTCCATACACATTCATTAGATTCATTACGTATAAGATGCTCTTTGGCGGCTACCAACGATGCCTGTAATGATGATGATGATAAAGCTGTAGTCGAGGCGGAGGTTTGATCTTCAGTTTGTTGCAACTGCAATTGTTGCAGAGTCTGACTGAAACTAACGCTCGAGGGTACATGTTGTAATGATGACTTTTTCAAATTTGATTTCAACTTGTTGGACCCAACTCCACCACCAACGACTGCCGTTGTACAATGTTGCAAGTTAAAGTTGCAATTGCCATGAGGCGGCAGAGAGCTGGCGATTTTATTTGTGTGAGAATTTATTTGCAAAAATCTACCCACATACAAGGCGGTTAGTGTGGCATAAATGATACCCATTACCGCACCGGCCAACACGTCCGACCAGTGATGCCAATAGTCGGCCACACGACTGAGCGAAATAAACCAGGCCATCGAGAGAAATAGAAACTGCAATAGATGACGTAAGACACGCTGTATGCCGCGTCCACCGCGCCATATGGCATGCAAATAAAAGGCCAAAAATAACATGGCATAAAATGACAGCGACGAATGGGCACTGGGAAATGACACATACAACTCTCTTAACTGTAAAGCAGTTAGATTACGATTTGAACAGTAGTATTGCTCCACAAAGAGATTACGATTTTTGGCCTCCTCACAAGTGGAACCATCATTAAGTTGTGGACGACAGGCCGTATAAAAATGGGGCCTTAAACGTCTGACAACATTCTTGGCCAATTCCGTGGACAGATAAGTAGCTATAAAACCAAAACTAAAACAACCCAAACTGAAGGTAACATTACGCATATATTGACGCATGCGAAAATTATGACACAACCGCATAATCTCCACCACGCTAAGGAACAACATGGGCAGCAGTAACATGCAGACCAATAGCATGGGCACGGTTATTGTGCACTCATGATATGGATAGCGTATGGTTAGGTCGGCACAAAAGAAACCGCGCTGATATGAACGCATATTTGCCCAGTTGATCGGTTACAATCTTTCAACAGCAACAGTGGCGGCAGCAGCAGCCACAGCAACAATTACCACTCACGTTTATATTTAAATGTTTATGGTCACACATTTACGATCACTACTATTTAATGTATAGTATTATTTTCTTTAAACGTTTGTTTATATTTTGGAATGTTTTTAATGTTATTTTGTTTAGTTTTGACTGTTTAATTTTTGTGGTATTTTGACAGTTTTTTTTCTTGTTGTTTTCTTAAAGATGTTTTAAATGTTCTTTGTTACGGTCTTAAAAATTTATTGGAATTTTTTTTTTTTTTTGTTAAGCAGTTTTTCCTTAATTTATTTTTAAATTCAGCAATAAAATTAATTTTAATTTTTATACATTTTTCTATAAAAGTGTTTATGTCTTTCAGTGGTAAATCTATTTAGAAATGAAAATATTTTTGTTAAATGCCATATTTCCTACTCTATTACTCCAGACAAGTTTATAGCAGTTAACAAATATTTAAGTTATTTTTTAAGAAATAATGCACAGAAAACGATCATGTTTTCTTCAACCGAATTACTTAAGCACACAGGATCATTTTCATAGAAAAGTTGTCTAAATGCAAGGATATTTCCAAAAAACCTACAATGGGATGACATTTTCCACAAAAGAGTTACTCACAATCTGAGGATCTAGAAAATTTTCTGACAAATTGAGGAGAAAAGTTTCCTCACAATATGAAGATCTTTACATAGAAGAGTTGCTCAAAATATGAAGATCCTTTCCGTAGAAAAGTGCTCAATATTTTTCAAGAAACGTTGCTCAAAGTGAGAGGATCTTTTCCATAGAAAAGTTGCTCCAGTGTGAGGATCTTTTCCATAGAAAAGTTGCTCACAGTGTGAGGAATATTTTCCATAGAAAAGTTGCTCACAGTGTGAGGATATTTTCCTTAGAAAAGTTGCTCACAGTGTGAGGATCTTTTCAATAGAAAAGTTGCTCACAGTGTGAGAATTTTTTGCATAGAAAAAGTTGCTCACAATGTGAGGGATCTTTTCCATAGAAAAGTTGCTCACAATGTGAGGATCTTTTCCATAGAAAAG